CAAGCTTCGCCTCCCGGGTTCATGCCATTCTCCTTCCTCAGCCTCCCAAGTAGCTGGGACTACAGGTGCCCGCCACCACGCCTGGCTAATTTTTTGTATTTTCAGTAGAAACAGGGTTTCACCATGTTAGCCAGAATGGTCTCGATCTCCTGACCTCGTGATTCATCCGCCTCGGCCTCCCAAAGTGCTGGGATTACAGGCGTGAGCCACCACGCCCGGCCGACATAAATTTTCATTAAATTTTTTCACTATTTTTAGGCTACATGGTACATCTGTGAACTTTTTAAAATTGTTGCAAATCTCCTAAAAAATTCAATATGTTTATTGAAAACAATCCATGTGTAAGTGGACCTGTACGTACAGTTCAAACCTGTGTTGTTCAAGGGTCAACTGTAGTTTTGATTCTGATATTGACTCTGGAGTCAAATAGAAAACAAAACTAAACAACAACAAAAACAACCAAAAGGCATACTTTAAATAATTGAAAAAAATGGAAACAATAATGTATTATTACTAAAATATATTATATTCAGAATTATTCCTGTAGAACTTGATAGAAACTCAGCTGAAACTGCTAAGGTGCAAGATGTTGTCAGGGATCTCCTTCTCTGTCTTTTCCTCCTCCCCTTTCTCAGTCCCTCCCCATCTCTCAGCCCAGCTCTGGCTTGGCTTCTGGAATGGAACTAAGTGTTGGCTTCTCGGTTAAGTGCAGGCTGTCCCTGTGAGATGGGAAGGAGGGTGATTGGCAGCTGCAGGCTGACATTGCCCTTTGTTCCTGAGATTTCAGAAGGAGAGAGAGCCTCTCTCTCCCAGAGTGCGTATCAGTCCCTGAAATAAGTGTTCAATTATTCCCATGCTTCGGTCATATGCCTTCTCCTAGCTAATCACTTTATTCAGGGTGTTGACGTTCGTTGATCAGCCTGTTTGTATTCCCCCTTGTGATAGAGAAGGTTGGGGAGCTTGACTGATGAACTGTCTTTCTTGGAGAGGCTGTTATTAAGAGAAAAAGAGTTGTTCTTTGACATCATAAGAGGCTGGGCAGGCCAAACCAACCAAACTTCCCAGATGCCCACTGTAAGAAAATGTTTAAAAATCACGTATTACTCCATCATCCTAACATAACTAATTTTGACTTTGTTTATTACTGAACAGTCATTTATTTATATTGTTCACTTATATTACTGAATTTACATTATGCAGATTTTTAAGTTGTAAAATGTAATGTTAAGTAGAAGTGTTTTTCTCTAGTGTCACGTTAAGAGGACAGAGCATAGGAAACGTCTATCAGAGGATAATCCTCTCGTGGATGAGTGTAATTTCACCAAAAGCACCCCTACCCACCGCCTAGTAACTATGCTTGCCGTAAATTAAGAGGACAGGATCTTTCTTTGGAAAGGTTGTGATAACTGTCACCACTTTGCTTCTCCTTGATTCCCTAGCCTGTGGAGGGTCGTCAAATCCGAGTTCTCTCAGCTGTCCTCACTGGCAGTTCCTCTTCTCCTCCATGCCCTGTCACTTCCTCATGGTGCTGACATCTTCTGGACAATCATAAATGGCAATTTCAACAGCAAAGACTGGAAGATGAGGTTTGAAGCAGGTACCTCGGTGTTAGCTTAAAATTCATTCTGGGTCACACGGTACACATCTTTTTTGTCACGGTCTCTTTTGGGGCACCTTCTTTCTTGTCCTTTCTTTTTAAAAGGCATTCTCCCGTTTGCTGATCTCCTTTGGGGGTTCTGCTTTGAGCTTCCTCTCTAAAATAACAGCATTTTGCAGAGTTGTCCTTAGGGAGGGTGGTCCTGTCCGGGTTTGCGTCGGACAGACCCAGCTTATGCCTGTTACCCAAGTGTAACGATTAACTGCACCCATGTTTACTCCCAAACAGGCACTGGCTTGGATGCAGTCAACCTGTGAGTTTACTTGCATCAGAGTTACTGGGAATATTTGTTAAAATGCACATTATCTGGCCACATCCTAGAGCTACTGAATCAGAATCTCAGTGGGAGGCGGGGGTGATGCCAGAAATTGAGATTTTTTTTTCTTTTTTTTTTTGAGACAGAGTCTTGTTGTGTCACCCAGGCTGAAGTGCAGTGGCACGATCTCGGCTCACTGCAACCTCTGCCTCCTGAGTTCAAGTGATTCTCGTGCCTCAGCCTCCCAAGTAGCTGGGACTACAGGTGCATGCAACCACACCAGGCTAATTTTTTAATTTTTAGTAGAGACAAGGTTTCACCATGTTGACCAGGCTGGTCGTGAACTCCTGACCTCAGGTGATCTGCCCACCTTGGCCTCCCAAAGTGTTGGGATTATGGACATGAGCCACTGTGCCGGGGCAGAAATTGAGATTTTTAATAAGAGGTTCGAGAATCTCTGCTGTATACCCTTGCCACTGAGGGATCAGGGACCAAGTCTGGTGCAGCTTGGATGTAATTTCCTAGTAAATAGAGCAGCAAGTTATCAGAGTAATGTGGTAAGGAAGGAACCTGGAAGGGTTCTCTTAGCCTCATGTCTGCTGGCCCGCTGTCACCCCAATCTGCTAGTAGTTCTATTCTCGGGGTAGTAGGCAGGGTTGGCATGCCACAGTGCAGCTTCTCAGAACAGTTCTGTAGGTTGATGTCTCAAAAGTTTGGCACAAAAATGGAAGTTTCATCAGTGAGGTAACTATTATACCTTTAGTTCAGTTCCTTAATATATGGCCACTTCAAAAAGTTCTTACTTTTTAATGCCCACAGGAATCTCAGGGGCTAGTGTATATATATGATAGCACATCATGTTGTGGGGGATTAGGATTAATTTTCTGAATCTTGGCTCTGGTTAAGTTACTTTTCTTTCTTTCCTTTTTTTTTTTTTGTTTGTTTATTTGTTTGTTTGTTTTGAGATGGAGTCTTGCTCTGTTGCCCAAGCTGGAATGCATTGGCATGATCTCGGCTCACTGCAACCTCTGCCTCCCGGGTTTGAGCGATTCTCTTGCCTCAGCCTCCTGAGCAGCTGGGACTACAGGCACCCGCCACCACACCCAGCTAATTTTTGTATTTTTAGTAGAGATGGGGTTTTGCCATGTTGGCCAGGCTGGTCTTGAACTCCTGACCTCAGATGATCC